TGTTCTCCTTGTCGACTGCTGTCGCGCCTTCTGTGACCCTTGTCAGGGGGCGAATGCAATACACGGCTCTTAGCCTTATTCGCGACTCGATCCTAGATAGGGTTTGAGTCTGACTCATGACTGAGTCTCTCTGAATAGTCATTTGAGACAGGGTTCAATGACGCCTAGTCATATTATTGATGATGAAACATCGCTCTAGATATTAGCAGCGTGGAGATCCACGCTACTAGATCCAGGCTAGACAAACCTTCCACGCGTTCCGTTTTAGGATCGTGGGAAGACGTAGGATTACTACCACAACCTACTCTATCACACTTCACAGTCTCCCGCGGAACCAGATCTACATCCCTTGATGATGATTTCTCTCGTTGATTAGTTTTCATAGCTTCTAATCTCTCTCATAACTTCATTCTCTCAAACTCAAAACACTCGAAAGATCTTTACACTAGCTTTTAGCGTAGTGCAGAGTCTTTCGTGAATAGTTGAGACAGGGTTCTCATGACCGCTAGTCATACTAGGTCGATGGTGAAAATCGCCTAGTATTTAGCTGGCGTGGAGAGATTCACGCTACTAGATAAATGCTAGACGAATTTTCACGCGTTCCGTTTTTGGATCGTGGAGTGAGTAGGATTGCTACGCAACCTACTCTATCACACTTTACAGTCTCCCGCGGGGAGTTCAGATCTACGATCCTCTATGTTGGATCTCTCTCGTTGATTAGTTTTCATAGCTTTCTAATCTCTCATAACTTTCATTCTCTCAAACTCAAAACACTCGAAAGATCTTTACACTAGCTTTTAGCGTAGTGCACCTGGCTGCACCAGCACAAGTACTATCAATGTCCCATGGGCAGCCATTTTGACGTACCCATTTCAGAATTTCCAAATGGCCATGTTCAGCAGCTAATGCACAAGTGTATGAAGACCAAGGGCAGCCGTTTGCACGCGCCCACTTCAGCAACACCAAATGTCCACTTCCTGCAGCATATGCACAAGTGAGTCCATCCCAAGGGCAACCATTTGCATGGGCCCATTTCAGTATCTCAAAATGCCCACCTTTGGCAGCCTTTTCACAAGTGAATTCATCCCAAGGGCAACCATTTCCGTGGGCCCATTTCAAGACTTCCAGATGCCCATTTACAGCAGCACGAGCACATGTCCAATAATCCCATGGAAAGCTTTTGCCACGGGCCCATTTGAGAACATGCAGATTTCCAAGCTTGGCAATGGTTGTGCACACTATGTCATGCCAAGGAAATTTTGTGTTGGAATTGTCACTGAGCCAAAATTCTGCAGTGGACTCATTTTGGAAAGCAGCACCAGAGGTTGTGACCGTGCTAGTTGCTGATATTGTTGATTCTCCAAAATTATTCTCTGCCCGAAGCCGTACTCTTGGAGGATCCTACACGGAATCACAATAGTCCTTGTAGAGGTGATTCATCTTCTTGTTGACAGATCCTACAATGGCATAGTGGCCCATTCCAACAAAGGAAGGATACCATTTATCCACACATCCTTTTGAGTGAGTAACGGTAACACTGGCGCATCAGAGCCCAATTTTTGGTTTTTGGCTTGGAAGCCATGATAATGCTGGGAATACAGCGTACTAGCTAGCAGCAAGCTAGATGAAAGGCAAGCGAAACAAAAGGATCAATATGGACCCCGATACCCGTATTGCCAGGGATGGACGCTTGCTGGAGCTACATCGTACTCGGCTAGTTCACGCTCAAGGGTGCTGATGCTGCCTCGACTTTCTCTTCTCCGCCCACAACAGCCGATTGGAACACGCCAGGAATAACAATAATATTGCACTTTCAAGTTTTCCCAAGAGTCTGCAGGGTTGTTTATACATCATGCGAGACAGCATTGGATCTACCGTATGAACTCCACGATTTTTATGAAAACATTTCACCAGTTAGACTAGATGGTGCGAAAGGGCGTGAGGCTCCATGGAGTTCTTTCAGGAGTGGAGTCTTTCAGGACTGGGTCCAGTCACTGGTTCGCAGCAGCATCAAAAACCAAAGGAGCTCCCGCTACCGGTACGCCACATTCTAAAAGCACACAACCGGCTCGTGCTTGGTGGTAGACCTATTATTAGTACCATCGGTAGCTATGTTCTTCATATGATTTTCCCTCCAGTATGTAATAGCCAGGGCCATGCCAGCACTGCCAGCGTTGTCATTCTGTCAATTGTGTTGGTAGCACCAAAGCATCAAATGGAATCTCGAATCTGTTCAGCCACAAAAAGCACCACTTCCACTCATTCATCACAAGTCATGCATTCTCTCCCAACAAAGCCATCCCAGAAGCAAACACTGCATGCAGTCAGACTTTCCTCCATGAAAAAACTCACATGACCCCCTAGTCCTGTGGCCTGTTGGTATGGATAGCGTCGATGCCATCTGAGCCGGACAGAGTGGTTCAATCTGTGCAGTAAAAATGTGTGTGAAGGAGACTTTGGTGGTGTTTGTGCACAACTACGGCACAGTTGACAGCAAATCGAATCAAATCCATGAGCTAAAGGATATATGCATGCGGTTACCACTACCATCCAAAAGTGCCAGCTACCATTATCACACAGATCCATTCCAATATTGTGGATACCCCACACACAACCACAACCACAACCACAGAAGAAAGTCCAGCATAGTGTTGAGTCTCCCAAAGCCAGCTGCCACACCACAGAGCAGCTCTGTTAGTCTATTGCCAGATCTGTTACCTCTTGTTAGGAATGCTGCATGTAATAGCATGAACCGGTATCCGGTACGATGGCATATTTGAATCCGTGAGTGGAGTGGATCTGGAAGGTACACGTGTGCCTTGCGCCTTACCCTTGCTCTTCAAAATTCATTAAATTAGCTGTCATGGACCGAGCAAAAATGGCTTTCAGCTCTGCACTGGCAACGGTCTGATTGAGAGTAGAGGTGCTAGGATACTCCTATAGTGTTTTGATTGATTCCAAGCTACCGGTGGAAAGGGATCCAAAGCTTCGGTCGTGGTACGCCATGGCCAGTAACTTATCCACTCGCATTATCCACTCGCACTATCCTCTTGCTTGCATTATCTCTCCATGCTCGTAGCACACTTTTGTTGATGAGGATGCATCGAAAATGAGGGATGAATGGAAGCTACCGTTTTAGCAACAACTGGAGCAACCAGCACCATGGTGACGGGATGATCAGTTCTATTCTGGATCTGATTGCTGAGGCTTGGTAGAAGTACCAGTACCGGTGCGAACGATTGACTAATTCGATTCATTCAAAGCCTCAGCAGGGTCGCTCCTCGCTAGAGATGGATCCAGCCATTCCATCCAATTCACTTGCCTCCGCCGATCTGGACGCTCCTCAGAGAGGGATCCAACGCATTGGTCGTGGCAGCTTATCCACTCTCATTATCCACTACTCTCATTATCCACCACCCCCATTATCCACCACTCCCATTATTTCTCCACGCTCAGGCAAAACACACAACACCAGTGTCATGCATGTAATAAGAATACATCATGGACAATGAGGATAGGAAATGGGGAATGGACGAAGGGCTGCCAAACTGCCCCAACGAGCTAGTATGGAGTACGGTACGAGTAATAAGTTAACTGTGTACAGATGTACTACTGCTAGCTAGTAACTGGAGCATCCAGCACCATGGTGGTGACGTGGAGAAGAAGGCAGGGAAAAGTAGAGTACAGACTACAACTGTTACTGGAGTAACTCGGATCTTGGAGCCATTCCTTCTGTCCGAGCATCCAGGCATCCATAAATCTCCTGACACACAACTTAATTTCTTCCCGTAGCTTTTTCACACCATCAGATCCAGCGATATTTGTCATGGCTACTTGAATCTGTGTACACATCAATAGGTGTGTGCTTTACCATTGGCTTGCCAACATGCCGAAAAGCCACCGGATGAACTCTGCAAAAAAGGCTTCTTGTACTGATTTAGTATAGGGAATCCTTGCCAAAAAATGTTTCATATAGCCCCCTTTGAAAACCCCCAAAATTAAGTCGCGAGGAAACCTCACGGACTATGTGGCGCATTCAATCTCCATTGGTACCACCGAGCTGAAGTATGAACACTACAGCAAGGTCCTGAAACGGGACTAAACTGTTAGTTTCACGGAAATTGGGAAGTTAGTTTCACGGAAAGATAGTTTCACGGAAATGTTAGTTTTACCGAAATGGGGTAGTTTCACGGAAAATTTCCGTGAACTAATAGTTTCACGGTTTTCAGTTAGTTTCACGGTTTTAGTCGTGTTTACATTGATTTACTGTCACAGAACTGTACTTAGTTTCACCGTTTTGAGTTAGTTTCACGGTTTTTGGTTAGTTTCACGGAAATTCCGTGAAACTAACTAGTTTCACGGTTTTGAGTTAGTTTCACGGAAATCGGTCTGTCCTAATTTCCGTGAAACTAACAACTTCCATGAAACTATTGTTTTCGCCATTTGAGTCCCGTTTCTTGACCTTGCAGTGTATTGTACTACTAGTAGACTAACGAACTAGTTTAGGGTGGTTCCAATGCTGGGGCCCAAGGAATTGAGATTTCTGGCACAGAGGTCCATTTTTAAAGGTACCAGGCAAGCATGCTTCTGAATCAAATGTCTACATAGAGCAATAACTGAACTACAGGTACTTGCTAGAACAGCCTATCCTGGGCAGCCATTGGCACGTGCCCATTGAAGCACTTCATGATGGCCGTACCCTTTTGCCCATGTCACAACTGTTCCATTCCAAGGGCAGCCATTCTCTCTGGCCCACTTCAACAACTCCAAATGGCCAGATTGAGCTGCACACACACAAGTTTTCTCATTCCATGGGCAACCATTTTCATGGGCCCATTTCAGTATCTCAAAATGCCCACCTTTGGCAGCCTTTTCACAAGTTTGCTCATTCCATGGGCAGCCAGTCGCTCGTGCCCAAATTAGAAGTTCCGAATGCCCGCCTTTGGCAGCATTTGCACAAATTCTTTCATTCCATGGGCAGCCATTTGCCCATGCCCATTTCAGTATTTCCAAATGCCCATGCCAAGCAGCCTTTTCACAAGTCTCTTCATTCCAGGGGCAGCATTTGCACGGGCCCATTTCAACAACTTCAAATGCCCACCTCGAGCAGCATATGCACAAGTATCGGCATCCCACGGACATCCATTGTCTCTGGCCCATTTCAGAATTTCCAAATGACCATGCTCAGCAGCCTTTGCACAAGTTCTTTGGTTCCATGGGCAGCCATGTTCACGTGCCCATTTCAGTATTTCCAAATGCCCACCTTCGGCAGCAAATGAACAAGTGTATTCATTCCAAGGGCAGCCATTTTGATGTGCCCACTCCAACAACTCGAAATGCCCACCTCTGGCAGCAACTGCACAAGCGAATTCATCCCAAGGGCAACCATTTTCATGGGCCCATTTCAATTCTTTGAGATGTCCACCTTCAGCAGCACTCATACAAGTACCCGCATTCCATGGACAACCATTGGCACGCAACCATTTCAATAGATCAAGATGCCCACCCTTGGCTGCTGCAGCACATGTATCCTTATTCCATGGAAATCCTTTATCATGTGCCAACCGAAGAACAGCAATTTTCCCAAGCATGGCAATAGTTTGGCACGCTGCGTAATGCAGAGGCAGTCTGGTGCCGGAATCGTCAGCGAACCATAATTTTGCCGTGGATTCATTTTGGAAAGCAGCCCTGCAGGTTGTGACTGTGCTAGTTGCTGTAATGCTCGAGACTAGACCATTCTCTGACCGAATCCATACTCTTGGAGGATCCTCCACGGAATCACAATACTCTTTGTAGAGATGGTTCATCTTCTTGTTGACAGCTCCAACAAAGGCATGCTGGCCCACACCAACAAAAGGAAGGATGCCATTGATCCAAACATCCTTTTGATCGAGAAACGTGGCAGCAGCACTTTCCAGCTTCTTCTTTTTGGGCTTTGGCTTGTAGGACATGCTTCTGGTACTATTATGGTTGCTACCGGTAGTAGCTCTTACTCATCATCAGCGTGTTGATGCTCCACTTCGTTTTTAAAATTTGTGCTCCGCTTTTTAAAAGAAATGAGGCGCCTCTCTCAGCCAGACATCACGCAACAAGATCGCAACGCGAACTGCGAACCGCGCAACAAATAACAATAATATTGCAGTTTATTCGGACGAGCCTGGCGATAATCCCGTTAGCGAAAGCCTCACCGAAACATGTGAAACTCGCAAATTCTGCGCACCTCTCTCTTCCGCTTGATTGGTCTATCGAATCAATCAGAACAAAACCTTTGTGCTTATTACTGGACCCGGCAACTGGCATCGACAGCATACTCTAGCAACATGGGTTTCTTTGGTCGTTTAATCAAATCCGCATCGTTCAAGAACAGGAAGAAGAAGAAGCAGAAGGCTGCTCATGCCAAGGAACATCTGCAGCAAGCAAAGGTAGCATCGCCCACAGCCGACGAGGAAGAAGAGCTACCGTTTGCAACGCAACAAGATGATTCGGAACCAAACGCGACCGCTTCCGAAGACGAATGGGGCAACGAAATCGACGTAGATGCCCTGCCTCCATCGGATCGTAGTGCCGTCCTGGCTGCTGCTGCTGAAGTACCCCGCGATACCAACATTCCATCGTCGTTTGACTTTGGCGGAAACGACGATGTTTCACTCATTACCCTGGAAACTTGTCCCAGCTTTTATCGACCTGACGCGACGACACCGCAACGGTCCTCGGTCCGGTTGATAGTCAACTCGCCAGATTTCGATGTCGACGACTATACGGAGTCCGTTTCCATTCACATGGCGTACCGACCACCGACAATGCCCATTATCGTGGCTCAAACCACCAATAATAACAACAGACAGAACGTGGATGTCGATGATTATGATGACGACGACGAAGCAACGGCCGTTGAGGTGATCCTTCCAGAGCAGCCGCAGCGACCATCCTGTGCGTCCGTGGAGGAACCGGAACTACAAAGCTACCATGTCGAGTTCCAGGTCCCGCAACAAGACGAGCGCCTGGCCGACATATGGCGTTCGACATCACCACGAAGTTTCCATTCCAATGGCCGCAGGCCACATAATAAGCAGAGAAACCTCCTGCTCAAATATCAACAATCCACCGCCTCGAAAGCCGCGGAAATGAAACAGCACATCAAGGGGTATTTCAGATACGTGCCAAGAGGGACCGAAGACAATGATATTTCCGTCATCTCCACGTAGCGACATATGTGCTTGTGCAAACAAGATGTACATCCATTTGCTTAGTTAGTCATCCCTCTTTTTCTGCTGGCCTCTTTTTCTTTCATCCCTACCCTACTCTGAGGCTCACATGGATTGACGCCCCAGGCTTCTTGATTGCCCACGGTACCTTTAACCAGTACTTGAGAATTCCCATTGCAAGCCCCCCGTGTTTCCTTTCGCAGATAACTTTCTTGACTACCGTACTTACTTCTTCCTTTTTCAGCCTCTAGTACAGCATTTTACTAATCTACATACATAATTACCTTGGACAACCCCGCTACAAACACAATCTAACCCTGAGCCGCTCCCCTGTCGTTTGTAGCGCCGGATGTCACGGTGGTGTCTGCTGGGTCCCGGCGATGTTCTCTACGGTAGAGTAGATACATAGTCGACACACTGCTCATCTGCACGACTTACCAAGCCACGAGGAGTCGACCAGACTCTGATATCCTAGGGTCTAGCTAGATACGCACCCCCTTCTATCCCATTCTCACCTTTGCTTGGCATCTGGGTACTACAGTACCGGTACCAGCCACTGTGCCCAGCGCTCCTTGCACCTTCTGATAGGTTTGAACTGAAGCTCTAGTAGTTACCCTCGGCATTACTGTACCGCTGTAACCTTCTTGCCAACATGTCCCCATCCTCGCCCTCCGCACCCTACGCACCCCGGTGGGCTCTCACGTCTTCCGACGGTATGGAAAAACTCAAGTTACTGGTAAAGTAGTGTACGATTTTTCCATACAAGACTTCCTAATCTGTACAGTAGAGCGGACAGTAAATATTCAAATATTCAGCTTCTAACTCTCGTGAGTCTTGTACAGTCACATAGAAGCCACGAAGACTTATTCGCGGAGGTGCATCGTACCTCTTTCGATCGTCCTCACAATTTGATCTCCGTGTCAAGTGGAGTCATTGGTTTCAACCAGCTACAGTCAACCACAGCCAAGCTGCTACATCACCATGTTGTTTACTGCTAGTCATGCATTTAAAGAATGGCTAGATATTAATAGTCGCTACCCTTACAATGAGATGAGGAAGACCAGGCAGACTTATGTATGCAAGCATGTTTTGCTGGAGGATCAAACTGATAGGGAAGACAGTAGATCCCAGTACATTCTTGTAAAGACCAGGTACCTTCCAAGTGGCATCCTTGAGCAACTCATAATGGAAGGGAATGCGCTGCCAATGACTCCTGACCAGAGTTGGTTGCTGGATGAGATGTTTGTGTGGGGTGTTAGGCACAGCAATGAATGGTACAGTGATGTTCTTTCTGAGCTGGCATGGGAAGTTTATGAGCATGAACCTGTCACAAGGAAAGAGATGTGCAGGGAGGTAATCAAACCACTTATGAGAGGTGCCCTTCACCAGCAAGGTATTGGTGGAGACCATATTGAAGTCAAGTCTTTGTTACTTACAGAGTGGGAAGAGTGGTTTGACAGAGAGTGCTGGAGCCAGCACAAGCACAACCTGAGTGGAATGACAATCAGTAGTGAGCAGTACATTATCAACAGAGCTGCATTCACTCTCCATCATGGTGGTTACTCTTACCCAATGCACCAAGACTGATTCATGTCTGTTCAGAGAGAGTTATAAAGCAAGGAAGCAACAGCTGTATTAAGAATGTTGTTGTTTGTTATCCAGTTGGTGTCACAGTAACAATAGTAGTCAAAAGTTACCTTTGTGTCAAACCACTGCTCTCTGTCAACACACTGCCTGCTTGTTGGTTTGCTGCATGTAGGGCCAAAGCTGCCATCCTCATGGTAGCGCCTGAGCTGCCAGCAGTTGCCACAGTAGTCTCTCTTGCAATCCTTGCCAACAGACTCTTCCTCAGAGTGGTCCTTTCTCTTATGGCCACAGGACACACAGAACCTCCTACTCCTGAAAACTTTCCTTGGTGGTTTGAGAGGTGGGTGAGGTCTTGGTTGTCTTGCATTTGCCATCGCATAGGGCGCTCCATTGTGCATTTCTGAAGTGCCGGTTACTCTACCAAGGGTGATGGGTGTATTTAATGTGGCTGGGTTGCCAAAAGGAGTGCGCCCTCCTGTATGTTGAGTGTAGTTGGTTGTGGTGCAAATGAATGGAGCTGGTGTTGCTGGAAGTGACTCTCTTGTAGAGCGCAGAGTCCTGTTGAATTCCCTCTGGTGATTGTCATTCGCATTGGCAGCAGTGGCTTGTAGTGAGCGAATCTCTCTCAGTTTCCTCAGATATTGCTCCAACTGTTGCCGGCTCTTCCTATTGATTTGAATGGCACTATCATCACCATCACTCCAAGCTTGGAATCGCCGTGCAACCTCATTATTCCAATGTCGTTCGAAAGCTTTGTAGTTTGGTTTGCCGCGACCTTGGAGGTTGTAGTTGGTGTGTTCCAACGAAAAGAGCCGCTCTTCTTCTCTATCAAGGGGAGTTGCCGCCCTCGTGCTGTCAGGGTATCGAAATGGAATCCATGGCTGCTTATTGGTGAGTTCGGTGAAGGCGTCAAGTGTTGAAATTCGGCCACTGGTATCTGGAAGCAGCCTTGCAAGTTCTCTGTAGATCTCGGCTCTATTTAGAGCATCGGCTTCCCTCACTCTGACTTCTTCTGCCAGATTCTCTAACTCGCTTTCCACATTTCCATCGTTGTCTTGGTCATTCTGATCAACTTCAACTGCGACATCTCCATTATCCACAGTGGTCAGTACACGTTGGTCGTTATCTGTGTCAGTCACTGGCTCATTGTCATTGCCAGTAATTGTTTCATCGCCATAAGTGGTATCCCCAACAGTAGGATTCGACACATCATGGACGTCTTCAACCACCTTGTAAGAAAATCCCATCTGTTCTTCTGGACCGTCAACATCAACAGTGGGAGCACTCGCACCCTTAAAAGGTAGGTCATCATTGCTGTATCCCACTTTTTTGGCCATTGAGTTAATGAATAGTAGTCGCTCTGTTTCAACTGTGCCATAATCCTTATCTCCACACCGTGTGACAGCTTTCCGGTGATTCCTTTCTTCAAAGAAGCAAGTCATTAAGCGATCAGCCAGATGGATTCCTTCAAATGAACCAGTGGCGATAACACAATGGTTAGTTCCTGTGCCGCTGGTACAAAAAGACAAATTCAAAAAGCTTACGTACCAATCGATGTTGCCACCAGGATATTATGAGCCAAGTCCATGTTGTCCCGCTCATTTGTGTTGGTGCCTCTTACCAAATAAGTAACACCAGTTACTGGGTTTCGACGATGCATCTTCACATGGGAAGGATCACTGAGACAGTCCTTGTCGATGTAGGTGAAGAGCTGTTTGATGATGTCGCGAGAAGCAGTACCGGTTTTGAGGAACAGCTTTGGTGAAGGTTCCTCATTGTCATCATCTCCTGTAATCCGTGTCGCTAAATTCAATTCAGTTTCAGCATCCTTTGCTCTCACATACTTCAGCACGGCCTCTACATTCTGTCTCAACAAAGCAGGCTTGGGAATGATGGCATTGGCCTCTGCTTTGATCTCCTTGTGAGTTGGTTCCCGCCCTTTCTTGTTGGCAACAACTTGCTTCGCTCTCTCATACTCGGCTGGCTCAACATTGAACAGAGCACGGCTGAGCAGCCCTCTGAAGATCCCTCCTTGTGCAGAGCTGGCATCCTTGACAACTGCGTTCCATCGCTTCAACCAATGGAAGGGATCCAGCTTGATCACGGCCTCTGGGAAAATCCTTTTCACTGTCCTGTACACCTGACAACAATTATCCACATATACCAGTTTCACGGCTTCCACTGTGGGGATATCCTGGTTCTCTTCGCCTGGAGGAAGGGGAGCGCCATCAGGGAGTAGGTCGCGAAGTGCTTCAATTCTCCTCTTCTTTTCTTTTGCCGTTGCATTCCGATTGAGTCTCTCGCGAAGCCGGACCAGATCAGCTTCTATCTCTGAGAAAGACTTACTGTACTTGAGAGCCTTCCAAAACACAGTAAGCCCATCTTCATTGTGAACCGTGACAATGCACCTGAAAGGACAAAAGCTTTTTCCTCGACCAGTCCAGACACGAATTTTCGAAGCCAACTTGTAATTGAAATCCACCTTCAATACCTCTGCTGTGAGTCCTTTCATCTTGCTTTCGATGAACTCCTTTCTGTGCTGGAAGACAGTATTGACAATGCAGTTGATGCAGTGGCGACTGATGTGTTTTCCATTATACCCCTGCTTGTTCTCAAACGTGGAGAATAAAGGGGGCTTATCTGGGTGATCCGTCACTTCTTCCTGGGCTGCTTCTTCTTCTCCATTGTCACTCACATATTCAGCGAGTTTCTCTGTTGCTAATGCAAGTGCTTCCTCTGCTGGAACGAGTTCCCCTTCAAGCTGTTCCACACGGTCACGGTACCCCTGATAATATGACGCAACCTTTGCTTGCCAGCCAGGGAGCAACCGCTTGAGTGGAGAAGGATAATCGTCTGCATCCACTTCCTCCAGCTGTTTCGCAGAGTTAATGTCTGCAGCAATCAATTTGCGCAACTTGGTTTTGCCCATTCCTTTCAAAATATTCTGGTCTCCGTACTTGTTTCGGTCACTCTTGTCACCCACAAGATGTCGGAACTGAATATCTTTGTCCAAGCAGGTTCTATTGTGAGAAAGGTCGAGCCGGATCCGTGTCACAATCATCTGTTTCTGATTCTTCACTGACTGGAGTTCTTTCATCCTGGGATCGTCGGTTGTTGGCACGGCAAATTCGTCCAATGTCCTCTGCCGCTTCTTTTTGGGCCTGAAGTTAATCTTTTCACCACCTACCGCAGATAGATACAGCTCATAATCTGAATAGTAGCCTCTGTATGCACTCTGTTTCAGCCTTCGCGCAATCTCTGATGTACACTCATTGGATGCCGACAGGACAATGTGACTGTACAGCTCCTCATCCACAGCATAGCCATCCCCCAAGTACAAGTTGAAGAAGGAATTGTACACGTTCGCATCCAGTTGCATGCTCTGCTTGTTATATCCAGTGAAACGTCTAGAACAGAGACCACAGTAGTACAACATCGTGTCCAGATATTTGTTGCGATGAACTCCAAAGAGAGGAATGGCATTGTTTTGCCACCGACACTTGTTAAGATCGACGTAAGTGTCCTTTTTGCAGTGCGGGCATGACGGAATGTGCCCCTTGAAGTGCAAGTGTGGAACCCAGACAGCAACAGGCCGGACGTAGAACGATTCCACGGTGCTCTTCCTTCCATCTTTGTGCATGAGGTTGCTATTATACCGACCTCCGCTTGGCATGATATTGAACCACTTCTGCCCCTTGAAGAACGCTCGACTGTCATTGTTGATGGATTCTCTTGTCTTCTTT